GAGAGGAGGCAGGCTTCGGACAGGCCACAGAGAGGCCGCAAGAGGCCGACAAGCTTTTGAAGGCGGTCCAAAATGCCTAAACGTCGCCTTCAGAAGCCCATAAGAAGAGAGGAGGCAGGCTTCGGACAGGCCACAGAGAGGCCGCAACAGGCCGGCCAGCTGGCGAGGCCTCGGACAGGCCTTTGGAAGTGCTTGGAAGGGTTCTGCTAGGCTTGGCCAACTGCTGCATCCTGCGCCTTTGGAAGTGCTTGAAGGGTTCTGCTAGGCTTGGCCAACTGCTTCACCCTGCGGTGTCCCAGGCGCCTCCCCGCCTAGGCTTTGGCTATAGGCCGGGGTCGGCGGATTTTATAAAGCACCAAGTTGACAAATCCGCAAATTCTCCACTGCAAGACGGGCATGGTGTGGTTCAGGCTTTGGTGTTCAATGCTGGTGCTTACTGCTTATACTGGGAAGTTTGAAACGCTTTGCCTCACTCCAAAACGAGGCTGTTGTGTGGTTGGGCAACGAAGACCCTAGGGGTCCAAGTACTTGTTCGTACCTCGGAAAATGGGTGCAAGCACCGGATTTTGTAGGGTCATGTCCCATTTTCTAGTATACTTTGGAGGGGTCCCTGGTTACCTCCTAATTCAATTTGAGATCCGTCCAAAAGTCTTGGAACCAAAAGCTTTACATCGGAAGTCATACATTGAGCATACATTGAAAAGCGATGCCTAACCGATGCCCTAACCGATGCCGCGGAGTGACTTCCAGACACCCGATCAAGGGACATGCCCACTCGAGAGCAGATTTTAGGGTTCAAATGACATGCCCAAGAGAAAGGAACTAGCAGCTGCATATGTGAGGTCCTTGAACTTGTGAACAGTTGTATGCTCTGCTGTCCGTTGCTTCGCCATGTCCATGACTACACTTTTGCTTGGAAACACACGGTATGTTAGTGAAATTCACCAAATATTGGAAACCGATGAGGAAAACCCAAGCCCGATGCCCTGTCCTAATGACCGCTCCCAGATGTAGGGAATTTTGGACCGACCTCATTTGGACCCATGTCCTCGATCGCCGAACCACATCAAACTGTCGAGAGAACGTCACCCTCGATAGAACGTCACGGCGGATAGGGAGAGACCAGGCTTCGATGTCCATGACATCGTGTCTCACGAGGTGGGAAGCCCAAAGGTCCACGTCACCAGTTGGTCCCCCGTTTTTTCGCAGACACTTCGACCTGGTCCGGGTCGACCTCGGACGAATGGAACACCTTTGCTTCCAGTTTTGGGGGTCGGACTTCTTCAACTTCACCACCTGGAGGGTTTGGACAGTTCGAAGAATTGAAGAATAGCTTCGCTGTGCCTGAAAAATGTTCTCTCCCCAGGAAAAGTGGACGACAACCTGCAAAAACTTGTTTGGGGGGGAATTGGTTTCCGGGAAAGTTTGATTCACCTCTATTTTCCAGGGAAACTGAGGGAGAGAGGCCCCTGAACCTTTGGACTGTGCCTTTGGGCTATGTGACTTCGAAACTCGGATGTTGCACATGTGGATGAGAAGTACTGGTGAGCTGATGAGAAGTAACTTGGCGGGCGGCTCGAAACCTCAGAGTAGCCGAGGGCCTCCGCGATTCTCTCCGCTCCCCCCAATCATGGAAATGGAAAAACCAAAGTTTCGAGAGGAAGACTGTGGATTATCAATTTTTGTATTCAGAGCGTTCCTATATCTCCCACCAGACTACAGGATGAGCATGATCAGGGCCCCCAGCCGTTTTTTTGGGATGAAAGCACAACAACGCACATTTAACCCCCTCAGAACTCCTGGCTCATATTCCAAAGACCGTTGTTGACAAAGCCCTATATTAAACTAATCCAGTCGGGTATATTGGTGGTGAACCTGCATGTTTTTTCTTCATCGCGTTTTCCCATCAGGATACATGCTGGATAGACACAAGTTCTGTACCACTGGAAAAACAGCTACGTCTAAGTGTGTCCGAGTCATTAATTGACTGGTTACCAATCAACAAACGGATCAAACAAAAGCTGCGTTTTTGGGTGGCCTTTTCTGATTCTTCACATGCAAAGGCCGCACAAAGGCTCGGAACATGAATTTCTGGAGCCACTATTTTCTGCACTTGTTTACCTGTCCGCAATTGTCCGAGTCCTTGCCGAGTAAACTCACTCATGGCCGCCAGGGTGAAGAGGGCTTACGCGTAGCGGCCGTGTTAAACTCCAAGCACGACCGCCCGAGCATTCAGACCCGGCGCAGGCAACAGAAAAGACTTTTCCTTTGGTCGAGACCACTGGGGGACTGGCGTTTTTGGTCGATGCCAGCATGCTGACCAAGGGAATCACTGCGAGGCTGGCGAGACAGTGCGACCGATGGTCCTAGTTACTAAGGCGGAAGCGTTCGTCTAAAGTCGATCGCTGGAGTCGAATCAAAAGGGAATCGACGGTGTGGAAGCGGACGCTCGTGGGATGTGTATTTCGAGGAGGCCCTAGCCGTCCAAGAGTTCAAGGCAGGTGATTCGGTAGAAAACCTTTAGAAAGGGTGGCTGGCATCCCAGGGACTTCCAATCTGAAAAGGTTCAACAGCTCGACATGTCAAAAATCTCAAGTGAATTTCCAAAATTCCTGAATCATTTCGGAGACAAACCACATCAGCTCAGCATCATGTAGAAAAAACAACCGAATCTGAGACATCAGATCAGTGATCAATAAACAAGGCGGTTCCCGAACACACATCGTATTTTTTTTGCCGCCGTAGTTTTTCCCGCCCTGTTTGAACATATCGCTGGATCCGTAGGTTGTGTGCCACTTTGGGGGAGCAAACTTTGCCGCCCTTTACCGACACTGCATTGGAGATCTTTGTGAGTCCCTTTAGCGACATCGTGCCCACGAGGCGGCGGGGTCGGGGTGTCCGAACGTCGGTCCGGAGGTGTGTGGTGGTGTGAACACGGTTTCACCGTTGGTCAGTGAAGGTGTGCTGGAAGGAATGTAAAGAGGAAAGGCAGAAGGTGCACTTTTGAAGTAAATGGAAACAATACCCATCCGGGTGCACTTCTCATTCAAAAGGTGCATTTATCTTGCAAAATTTATCAGGCACCCAGCTGGACACTCGTTTGTGTACTTTGAAACCAAAACTCCCCAGATCGGCGACCCTTTCAGTGTCTTCGTTTTTGAGTATAGTCAGGCCCAACTACCGATCTTAGGATGGTTTTGTTTCGGTGTTGCAACAGTTCTTTTTTCAAAGGTGCCAGTTCGAGTAGCAGGACCCTCCGGTACATCTGGTTTCGAGTCACGGCACCCTCAATTTGGGGAAGGCTCCCTTTTCAGGTAGAGTCCACCTCCAAAACCTCGTGGGTCATACCGTAATACCCATTTTTCGAGGTATCTCACTGAGACTCCAGGTAGATCTCTGCGGACCAGTCGCAGGTCGTAGGATTTGTTCATACTTTTTCTATGCAGATCTGTGTTTGGACTCGGCCAAGGCATCATCCATGGACCTTGGACCGGGCGATCGATTCGCCTGCGCTGGCCGGAACGCTCGTCCACCAACGCGTGGGTTCACAAACTTTCGGCGAGGCTCACGGTGGGCACAGGGCAGATCCGCCTCAAGTGCGATCACTTCGTTTGTCCGCGCCATGGCGCGTTAAGAGGTTTCTTTTTTGGGGGGAGGGTGGCCGCGTCGCGATGGGTGGTGGGTCACAATTGACGAGGCCAGTCCAAACCCAGTCCCAACCAGAAAACACGTGGTTGTGCCAATATGGCCATGAACACCCTTTTTTGAAACAAATGCTTCTGATTCTCCAGAGCTACAAAGAACCAGAAGGCGTTGACGGTGAGGCTGCACACGTCACGGATACAAGATACGTTCCACCAAGTGCTATCAAGCTGGACCCTCCAAAGTACAGTTTCCTAGAAAATGGGACTTGACCAGTGACTTGACTCGACCTATATAAACAATTGAGGTCCTACTCCTGCACCCATTTTACCGTTATGAACGGGTCGACTCCAGGATGTGACTGTAGCAAAACCATGCAAAACCTGCTCCGTCGGACGACCCAACTTGACTGGCTTGTGGTGGGAGAGCTTCAGCTTTGGCTTTTCGCCGGGCCGTCCAAAGGCGAGGCGATTGGGCTCGCTGACAGTCGCTGATCCGGCGCGGTCCGTGGAGTCCGGTGGGTTCACCGCCGCGTTCGGTCCATGGAGATCCGCGTTGGTTGGGGCGTTCGCTGGGCGTTTCGGAGAAATCAAAAAGCCATGCGGCTTTGATCCGAGGGCGGAGACCACCTGGGTGCGTCTGGCAACGACTTGTGGACAGGAGAGGCGTAGTTGTCGGGTCACGGAGTCGGAGTGTTGATTCTTTTCCCCTTCGGGTCACGAGTGGGGGTGGGAGCCGATGTTTGTCAGAGACCGGGGCAGCTGCCTTGAAGTCGAGTCCCACTATTGGGAAGACATGGCTTTGCTGGAAACATCCCCAAAATACGGATATACTGTGTCTGTATATATACTGTATCTATAGGTATCGATAGAAATAGAAGACAAGCAACGAAGCAACGACAGACAGTTGGCTTCTGTTTGACAATCCTGGACGTAGAGCATGCCCCTTGCTTGCAGCGTCCATGTATATACTGTATGTCCATTGACCATCGAGCGTTGCTGATGGAAGCCACCTTGAGGTAAACGAAGACTTCATCTAGAATGGCACGCTTTACCACCATTGGGCTTTTCGAAGACTTCCAGGAAAGGGGGGGACCACATGGGTACTTTTGCCTGCCAGCCGTGGCCACTCAGAGTCTGACACCGATCGCCGATCGAACATCGAACATCTCATCTCTCAGGATGCGGCAGAACAGTTGGAGGTGGCGGCTCAATCGGATGCCGCCAATAGCTTGGTCGCCCGCTTTGAGACCTCCTCCCTCACTGCTGGGCGCCGCTATCACGTTTGCATCCAGGTGGGCCGTCCAATCCGGTCCGGTCCGGTGAACCCGTTGTTCTCGTGGAAGTGGACAGCTGTTGACGCTGTTTGGTAGAGGAACATGGAAGACCCCCAGGGGTGTTGATCCATGTTCATTCATTTTCCATTTGCTTGGGAGTGTACAATGACAAGGGTTCCAAAAAGCCCGAGGTGCAGTCAGTTCTGCGCGACGAAAGTGAGAAGTACCCCGGAAGCCTGAGCAGTTTCTACGGCACCCTGAGAAGCCGTGAGTGGTAGGCCGTGAAATACCAGGAGATCGTTCACTTCCTGAGAAGTGGATGGGTGATTTGATTCATCTTCAAACCCATGAACATATATCAAAAGCAACACCTGGGGATAGAGTTACACCAGATTTTATGGACGGAAGTTCCTTTTCGGGTCACCAAGTCAGGGCATTTTAGTCAATTGAAACTCCCACAAAGGTACTTTCTTCCGGCCAAATCCATTCCCGGTGGGCAATATAGGCCTTTTCTTCGGGACCTGTCCGCGAAGATGAACATGCCCAGGTCCTAACAGAGAGCACATGACTTGGAGAGGGACTGCTGCAGAGAGAGGGACTTCCTTTTCGCCACTGGGCGACGTTTCCTTCCAATCTGAGTCGCCACCTCGGACGGGAGGTTGGGACTCAGCCTTTGGGAGACACCGGCCGCCGCATCTACTTGAGCAATGCCGCTCTTTCAGCAACGGGTGGAAGACACTACGCGTAGCGCGGCGGTGGGGAATGGTGGTGGTCGACACTCGCCTCGCGCGGTCCGAGATTTGGATGCTGGTAAAGTCGGGGGGTGCTTTTTGGATGTAATTTAATGTAATGTATACTTAGGGTCTTTTGTTCCGTGGTAGACAGAGGTGGCCTTCGAATGAACGTCCCGGCTCAGGTATCAGAGGTGACTCCAGGCGCGAGAGGGCGGACGCAAGGACGGATTGGGCAATGGTCCGGTGGGCACTCCGTTTTCGGAGGGCGCACATCCAAGGACCAGCAAAAGCAGATCCAAGGAGAAGCGCCAGAAACCCGGACTTCTAGGGGATTTGTAGATTCCGCTCAAAATAATCATTGCAAGATCAAAAGCAAGTTACAAGTGTTCCAGTGGTATACCAGGAAAGTAGGAATGCTATGCTACCTAAACAACTGTGACAATTTGAAACTGGCAGTTTACCAAATTCAACATTATATAATTGGTTGGGACAAAGGTTCTAGTTCCAGACGATGTTTACCATTATCAAATCAGCTTCCGCCTAGACTACTACCCAAACATTTACATACATTTGGGTGGTTGACCTGGGGTCTTTCTGGGGCAGCGATATCTATTCCAATCTCATGGAGTGTTTGGGCTTTCAACTCCCCCAAACTCCTTATTCAGAGGGTTCTCCCAGCCCTCACCGCCACCCCCAGCTCCAAGAACCGACGAACCCCCAACACCACTGGTGTATGCCCTTCCTTCCATAAGAAGTCCACAATGTTGGGACATTGCTTCTGGAAGGACCCTTTTCCGAATACCAAGCAGTTGCTTGTCCACTTCCATGTTTTGCTGGAGAGAGGGTACGGTCTTTTTCAGCATCCTTGTTCCTTTTTCATTCCTTTTCAAAGAATACAGACTGGTGGGCTTATGTGCTTGATGAGGGATCTTTGACATTTTCCTCACCTGAGCCAATTATGTATATATAGGTATATATAATATATAATTATAATACCAAAAAAGTTGTACATGTTGTATAATTTTGTTACAATTCAACCCATGTTTACAATATATTTTTCTTTCATGCCGGCGTCACAGCATCCAGGCCCAGGGTTCGCGGAGGTTTAACTCTGGTTCATGAAGCACGGAAAACCTCAAAGCCCCGCAAGTCATGTATTTTGAGGGTCTGGTGGCGGTTTTTTGAATCCCAGGACCCCCCGTTTCCAGGACCAGCGGACTTCCAAAAACCGCGCGCCTGCCACTGATCCGCGTCATACGGTGAACCCCGTATGACGTGCGCCAGGCTCGCTGCGAGCTGCTCCGGCACAAGAGATTTGCTTCGTGTGCCCTCAGTGTTCGAGCGCCGCGATGCTGAGAGTGGGGGGCCCTGAGACATGTCGTTGATGGATGCCGAGATCGCGCAGGGAACAAGCTGGGCTTTCAGAAAGATGAACAAACGAGTGGTGGAACGAGTGGCAGGTCCGTTCAAACAGCAAAATGGTGAGTTTGCTTCGATGTCACCGCTCAAACAATGGTGGTGCTTTGATATCGATCAAACAGCAAAAACCTCGCTGTTTGCTGCGATGGATCGATATCATCTTGTCTTTGGAGCAAAACGAACGCAACAGTAAGTACACCTGCATGTTTGAACGCGAGAACATCGCAACAATCAAGCCTTGAAGGCAAGGCAAGGCAGCACTGCCTTTGTTTTTCATTCTGTTGGGGTGCTGAGAACAACAAAGAACCTGATATCAACAGAGCTGGAAGAAAAGTACAAGACCATTGGCACTTGAGAGATCTTTTTGGGGATGGGTCGGTCGTGGGTCCAGTCCCACAGAAAACACGACGCCTGGAACTGTCCCTTTTCAATATCTTTTCATCCGTCTTCTTCCGAACAAGCTGGCGATTCCAATCTGCTGGGGGTAGAGTTCCACTGCTCCGGTGGGGATGAGTCCTTTGTGAGTCCTTGCAAATGCGATGGACGCGATGGACCGGTTTCGACGTTGGTCACCCCTTCGAGGCACCCATGAGGTGTGGCCTTTGATGTCCGAAGCGAGTTGGTCTCCAAAAGTCTTCCTCTTTTCGGAGGCATTTGGCAGGTGAGTGGGAAGACCAGTGGAAGGGTTGGCGCAGAAGGCCCTGGCCTCCGAGAGGGCGGGTGACCCATCGCCCCGCGGGTTTGGAGCCGGAGCGAGAAGGACATCCCGCCAGGTCGCGGCATCGTGTTCGGACGCGCTGGAGGCCTGCCTTCCGTGGCAGACGCTTGGCACAAGCGACTCCACACGTGAGACGCGACACGGGAGGGAGGACACGGACCGAGCGAAGGAGGCAGATTAAACAGGTGAGTTGCATGGGGTTTTCCAGAAGGATTCCAGAGCATTCCGTTTCAACCCGTTCTCTGGTGTTCTTTGGGGTTGAACGGTGTTTGGTGCCTCAACCATTTCAGTTTATCTCAAGACAACCTGGAAACTCTTTGTCAGCGGCCTCTGAGTCTAGTCTCGCTCCCCTTGTTGAAGAACAAGTGACTCTACCTGCCTAGCACCCGAGATGTTCAGCCGTTTTGCATTCTTGAAAACGGCTGGTCACTGATCAGCAAGAACTTCCATCCAGCTCCAGAGGGGTGAAGAGCGCCAGACTCCGCAATGCTGGAGATTTCACGTCAGAGTCTTTAGGAAGGCAATTTGAGACTGCTACTTGACCTACAGGGAGTGAACTCCAACATCCGGACTCCCCAACCAATGCCCTTGAGAGATTGGAGTCAAAGACAATCAGAAGGACTTGTCTGACCAACGGCGATCTCTCGGATGGACGTCCTTCGCCTGCACTGTTCGGCATGTGCATCGTTGAACTCGACTTCTAGGGAAGGGATGTGTCCCAGGAGTCACAAAGGGATGCCATCCATGGAGGTGAGGGGTGCCCAGAACATCCACTCACTTAGGGACCAAACACCACCCAGACATGTGACCCCTGGTCACTCATTCTTTTCACGTTGCCTCTAAGATCCGAAAAGGCCTTGTAAGACGAGCCCGACGGAGCAAAGACCACCGCAGCCACCGCGCGCCAGGAGAATTCACGAGATCAACTACACCACTGAAGCGGACTTCTGGAATCCTAGTCTTTCTGGGGTCATCCATCCTGACATGTTGGTCCTGAAGAATTATGATCCTTATCCTGGAGTCTTAGAGGCAGCGACTTGGATGGAAGAAACAAAACTCTTCAAGGCCGGAGGGGTTCCCATAGTGAGTTCGGGCAGTTCTTGTCTGAACTTCTGTGGATGTCGAGCCACTTGGTGCTGCCAAAGCTTGAGGTTGTCCCTAGGGGTCGATAAGCTTTATTGGACCCGCCAAGCTTGAATCTGCAGACCTGTCATCTAAATTGATCTTTCAACTATGCAACATGCTTGCCTTGTCATTCGTAAAACCAGCCAGGTTCGGCATACATGTCGCACAGTTGGAAGCTCCAGGTGTAAGCTGACCTAAGCCTGGCCCAGCTTCTGAAACTCCCGGGAGCGTTCAGGTGTAGAGTTATATACTCTGGTGGAAGATATGCTTGCATTATGATGAAACAGTAAAGTGAGTTGTGAGATGGTGAGCAAGAGAAAGTGGAAGAGAGGGTGAGAAAAGAATGAGATGAAAAAGATGTTCACAGGAGGAGGGAAGCAAAGATGTTTTCCAGTCGATGACGCGGGCGTTGAAACACATGCATACAGGTTCTGTTGGCGTTTAGTATGCTCTGTATTTTGTAGCAATGCGTGTGGATGACACGTTTGTTTGACTTTGCGCAGTGTCCACGGGGGGTGTACCTAGCAGGCAGCGCATATGATTGTTGCAAGGCTGAGAGTCTTCGAAGATACTCAGAAACAGAGGCACTGAAGCATGTCGAGCGTCAAGCTGTCTACACTTGAGTGACCTTGATCCCGCTCCCCAGCCTGGCCACCATGACGGCCAAAGGAGCTACCAGGGACGATGGAACAAAGACCACAAGTCGCCACTATGTGAGCTTGGCGAAACAACCAACTACACGATGCCACAACTACAAGAACACTTCTAAGCGATCCAAGGTTCTACAACGGACTCTGGCTTGGCAGAGATACGATGACCAATGAACACATTATCGGCATGCCAGGCAATGCAATCACAGAACGCGCAACCAGGATACAAACAGAACCACACAAAATACAATCGACAACTCATGGATACACTTAATGTATTTCCATGGTTGCCGTTGAGTGCAACAATGTCTCTACAGACAGCACTCAGACGACAGCTACATCGATCCATGGTGCACAGTGCAGCAACAACCAGAGAGATTCAAGACACTGGCGCGCAAACGATAGTTGACTGCCACAGCACAACATTACACCAGCCAGATACAGGTTCAATACATGTGACATCATTACCTGCTTCACCACAACCACCACCAGCGAGAGCCAATGTGCCAATGGCAACGTCACCAACCAGCGAAGGGAGCAGAACCCCACTTTCGACGCAGACATAGAGAGAAGCCCGCACAGCAGAGCAACAAAGGACCACACTCGAACGACCAACCGAGCAACAACACCGGAAACAAAGAACAATCCCGACAAAGAAAAGAGAGGAGACTAACAAGGCATCATGTGAGGATGAACAAGAGCACCGCAACCTACAGAATGCCTTCTGGACCCAGTCGTCTACGATGCAGAAGGCTTCGACCCAACAAATGTGGAAAAAGGAATGAAGAAGTAGGTTAATGCTGCGACAAGCAGTGTACACGGAACAGTATCAGAAAAACAAAGCAACATCATAGACTCAAAAATTGGGCCTTGAGAGAGAGAGAGAGAGAGACAAGGTGGACGAAGTGCGAACGCAAATTGCAGCAACAGGCTACAATAAAGCAATCAACGAGTTGGACGGCATCTTCGCCAGCACGCCAAATTCTGCATACTGCGGATATACTGCTTATTGCGCAAAATAGGCGCTAGCAATGAAATGTGCAGGAGACCTCAACAGCGTTCCTGTGTTTTTGTCCGCAGCTTTTCTGTTGGAACAAGCTGAGTGGCCCTCCGAGAGTTTGCACAGGGGCCATGCGGACCATGGCCTTCATGGTCACACACGGATAGCGTGGCACTGCAAACAATGCCTACTCGGTGCGCGACAACAGTGCACCCACAAGGGTGATGGTGGAAAAGGAGACCAGTGCAGAAGTCCTCCTCTACCCTGTGGCAATGAGTCTTGAGCACTGGGACAACAGCAAAACGCCCGCTGGTTGACGGCAATGTCGGCAGAGGAGTATGGCAACTCCGGATGAACGCATTTGGTGCTTCTGTTGAATGATACGTAAGAATCACCTGCCACCATGGAGACAGCATCTTGTGCACAAAAGCTCGTGCTGAAGCAACAGTTGTCTTTCGGGCCAGAGTTGAATATTGTGCAGAGCTGCTGAACCACAACATGGAAAGACACGTTTCTTTTCACCGGGATACAGCGCAACGGTGTTCCAGACTCATGAGCGTTCCATCTACAGGTTGTTGGACGGTGAGACAAAAAGTTGTCAAGGTGATGAGAACAACTCCAATGTATGAACTCTGGCACCTGGTGCAACTAGAGTACAGGCTACAGCTGGGCCGAAACCCCCTGGAGGTGAAGAAGATGACATTGGTTGATGACCAGGATGAACACTGAGTCTTTTGTGAGCCAGGCGTGAAATGTTATACCCCAGCTATACCAGAAGTGCGAGGTGATGTTTTTCGGTGAATATTTTTCTCTGTGTTTGGTTCACTCTGTTCTCGCGGTTGTAAATTTATTTTTTCTGCTCTTGTTTCCAAGGAGGCTTGTTTGAAGACGTTTGATCATCCAGCCATGTTAAATCTTTGGGTTTTCTTCGGCTTATTTGCAATCGGCTGGCGTGTGGACACGGGCCGCTTTTACGGGCAGTTGGTCGGTTTTACAATATTGGCATAGCGCCCATCTTTTGAGCAGTTTGTTGGTTGGGGAGGTGTTGTGGGCTGGTGACCTTATGGCAAAGTTCGTTAGCATTTGGTTAGAAACAATCCGTATTTACAATACAAGCAACAATAACTGCCACAGGTGCATGGTGTTGCACGCCGCTGCTGGCTGCACATGTTCAGGGACGCTTTGGCAACCGCAAGTTAAACATACAACTGTTCCTGCCTGAACAGCACGGGAACCAAAGGAATGTGACCAAGGCGTTGAAAGAAACGGAAAACTAGGACACGCGCGGTTAAAACGCCAACCGTAAAAGAACGAACAAAACAAGCGAGGGACCTTTCTTGACCTTATGCGCTTGGCTGTGGCAAGGGTGCTGGTAAGACTTGTGGGTCACCAAAGCGGGAGAGTAGCGCAGGTCATGGTAGACCCTCACGGCCAAGGCGTTCCTGAACGACTGAGTGTTTGTTTCATTCGATGGTTTTGGTGAAGGGGCCGTCCTTCGCCTGCATGGGTTTTGAAGGGGGCCATCCCCTGTGGAAACTGCACGATGGAGGCCGTCCCGTTGTAAGTGTCTTATGCCGTGTTTCGGTTCTTTTGGGTGTCCTCGATGTTCACCTGCTTGCCCTTCGCTGTCTTCTTCCGCCGTTTCTTTTCTTTCCTTTCTTTGCGGTGACGCTTGCTTATCTTTCTCCTTTCCTCTCTTGTTGTGTTTTCTCTCTCGCTTCTTTGTTTCCCCTAACTTCTGCTCTCACCGCTCTGCTGTCCTCCTGTGTGTGGGTTTAGGGCTTTTCCTCGGGGTCCGGCTCCGTTTGTCTGCGCGCGCTCCCCCCTACTTGGCATGGCTACCGCAAGCCCACGACTTGGGGGGCTTGGTGTGTGGTCTAGGTTGTTGCTGCTGTTTCGTCCCCGCCTTGTCCACGTTTGTTTCACTCGCCACGAACCTTTTTTCTTTTGAGACTCTATTCTACTTGCCCGACTGTACATGGACCCTGAAAACTGACCCGTGGTTTGGACCATTTTCCTCATGTTTCCTTCTACCCAGGGGCTTTGGGAGGTCATTCATTCCCCTTTCTCAGCTGATCCCAGTCACGACGGAGCCCCAAGACCACGACGGGGACCAGCAAGCGAAGCTTCTGGAAATTCCATTGTGCAGCGTCAATGAGTGAGTCAGACAAGTCTCTACGTTCAAGTGAAGAGATGAGAGAGAGAGAGAGGTGCAGATGTGAAGAGATGAGAGATAGAGGAGAGGTGTGTGAAGAGATAAGAAATATGTGCAGCTGTGAAGATGTGCGTGTCTGGATATGTGCTTCGCCCAGGCGCTCTCGGGAAAAAGGACTATGATAACATTTTTTGTGGTTGAGTGTTGCACCGACTGTCCACGTCCTCGGCAAATGGTTTATGTTGTTGATGGTGGTGACCAAAAAGGAGGAACCTAACCAATGGACCACCCAATGGTGTCCTTTGCTTTGTTTTCCGTTTTGAAGGGTTTGGCAACGATCTTCCACGACTTGGTTGTTGAACCATCCCAGTCATGTTGGATCCGTTGACACGTGAAAGCAATGGTTTTATGGCCAATGAACTCTGCTACTTTGGTAAAAAACAACCGATAACAAAAGTACTTTCTGTGAGACCCTGGTGTTTGGTCCATGGTTTTGTTTTTACCACTTCAATCACGTTTCTTTAGGGGCAGATGTCATTTTGATCACCCTTGCGACGCCATCTATAGCCATTTTTGGGGATGGATCCCTGGCAACATTCTACAATTCTTGGATGTTCACGAATGGTTGGCGCCTACACTTCCGATGTCCGGCCATTTGAACCGTCAAATGACGTCATTTGCCGCATGTCTCATAGATTCATGGTTTGCGGATGTTTGTTTCCATGACCACTGAGTGTCTTTGATCAGTGAACCGAATCTGATGTGTTCTGCACTTTTTGTTGCGGAAGGTGGGAAGATGACCTCCAGCCCGATTTTCCACCTTCATGATGATTGAAGGACAACAATATAGAGTATAGATCAAAGAGTCTCAGTTGGTACCTTGGAAAGTGAGTACAGTTCAGTTGTGCCTGTTTTTGTTCGGGTCATGTCCCATGTTCTGAGGTACGAACGAAGTCGGGTCCAGGTAGACCAAAGACTTGCGGACCTGAGATGACCTGACCATGTTCCACTTCCGAGGTGGCCAATGGCACCTGGAGCAACGAGACGTACAGTCCTCCTTGTGCCCGCGCGTTGCGCGGTACCGGTGGGACGGTGCAGATGCCTTTGCAGCCCAAAAGCGGAGCGCATCTTGGTGGGTCAATTGGAGACCGAGAGGAGTCCAGTCGTGCTATTTTTTCAACTGGTTTGGGTTCATGGACCCGAAGTTGGGATTTTACCTGAACACTTCCAATGGTTTGGTGATGCCAAATATAGTCAAAGTGGACTTCTAGGGTTGAAGATTGGTCAAGAACTTGAGTTAGCTGTCCCGATTTAAACATTCTGGTTAGTTTGGAGTGAGGGGAGCTGAGCAGCAGGAGGAGAGGTTTCTGCATTGAGGTCAGCAAAAGAAGAGCGTATTCAAATCGTTTAACCCTCGCCCAGTCCTAAAAA